CGATTTAAGCAATTTGAAGGACAAAAATCTCTCCCCTCACAATTTGCAAATATTCTAGTTGGAACTGGTTAGATTTTTTATATTATTTTTTAAAGTCCACCCATTTTAGTACAGTTAGGTTGCACGTTGCCTGATTTCTGTCTTCACACAAGAACCAATATTCTAGTATAGCCGGGTGATTTTATTGACGATATATATTTAATCCAAGCTAATAGGATTTTATGTTGATGGGTTGTTGACACTGGGCTTATAGAATTAGATGCTCCAATAAGATTGCGTCCTGGGTAAGACGATAAACTACATCCGCGTCCTGGGTATGACGATAAACTACATCCGCGTCCTGGATATGACGATAAACTACGTCCCTGTTCTTGGTATGACGATAAACTGTGTCCAACAGCAAGGCCTCTGTTAATACGCTTTTGAAAAAAATAATGCCGCCAGCTGTACGTTTTTGAAAAATAATATTACCAGCCATAAGTTTTTTTTTTTCGTTTTTGTTTTTGAAAGAATAGAGTTGTCGGCTATACGTTTTTGAAAAAAATAATATTACCAGTTATACGTTTTTGAGAAAAAAATATATTACCAGCAATACGGTTTTAAAAAAATATTACCAGCTACACGTTTTTGAAAAAATAATATTAACAGCTATATATTTTAGAAGTAAAAATATTAACAGAAATAGATTTTTTGACAAAACAAAAATATTACCAGGAAAAAAATGTTGTCGGCATTAAATGACCCATTGAGGTTGATATGCCGTAAAACAAAACAAACAAATCCAATAAAATTTTGTACCGCTGAGAAAATAAGTCTCAACACTCGACGCGGCCGTGAGAGTGAGGAATCCCCCCCCCCTGCATCAAACAACCGCTTTCCCACAGATGAAACGTTCAAAGTCTCTCACTATTCTATCGTTATTTCTCTGGCAAGTGTTTTGATACGATACATTCTTTACTTCCACTTGTCCTGATCATTGCTACCGGGACCCACAATGCCACGCCCACAGGTGAGATTCATCCCCATTCCCATCGTATTTCATAAGTTAGAAATAAATTCCACTCGGACAGCTTCTTCCTAAGAACTGCTTCTTTGTAGAACAGAATCAAGACAGGCTATTTTCCTGACCACTATAATCTCAATAAGATTAACCATGATCTTCGCAATAAAATCTCCTGAACTGCACTTCTTGATTTATCTTCCGCTAATAAACACCACACAATAACATTAGGGTCTTGTATTAGTTGAATATTTGTATAAAATAAATAAGAATATCATGGATAGAACATGTGAGAAATGAGGAAGTTCTAAAGAGCATAGAAAATACATAAGAACTGTCCATAAAAAGTCGTAAGGAGAGAACGTAAATATGGAGGAAAGAAGATAAAGAAAGAAAGCATGGAGAATATAAAACTCACAAGACGGGCAAAATGAAAGAGAAGAAAAAACAGTGAATAATTTCAATAAAAAGCTTACGCAAATAAACACCACAAAGAGAAAGGAGCAAGTTGGCTGCCGAGTCATGTAGTTTGATAATTACTTATTTATGTAGTAATTCCTCTTTTATACATGTTTCGTTAAAGATGACTGACAAAATATTGCGACTAAGCATATTATTTGCAGTGTCTTGTCAGTCGTCTTTAAAGAAACATGTATAAACGAGGGACTGCTACTTAAATACACACTTATGAAAATATATATATATATATATATATATATATATATATATATATATATAGATAGATAGATAGATAGATAGATAGATAAATAGATAGATAGCTAGATAGATAGATAGAAAGAAATTGTGGCTGTGTTTCTTTCCTTTTTTATGGAAGAGTGAATTCTTCTGGTGAACCGGAAGTCGTCTGCGATTTGACAAGAAGGTTTGTTTGGTGTGCGTTTCGGAAGATGGAAAAAAATTGTAGCTAACGGAAGCTACACAAGTCGATACCCGATCAGTATCGGGTGGGTCACCGTGGAGAAGGGGTATGAAGTTGAAAGGCCCGAAACCCTAATGAACCTCAGCTAGAAACATCACTGATGATGTGTACTAAAGCATCCAACAGATGTATTTTATATAATATATATATATATATATATATATATATATATATATATATATATATATATTACATGAATCATTCATACAAATAAACAGATTAGTGAAGTTAATGATATAAATGGCGAGAATACACTTTGCAAACAAATTTATTAAAATTACATTAACCCACGAACCTCTAGATGAATGTTTTGATCCCTGTTTTTAATAAATTCAAATTGTATAACGTCTTTTTTTGCTAGAACTTTCATCTGTTCATACAGACATCATCAGATCGTATGTATAAGAATTGTCCAAATTTTCTATAGATCAGATCACTTTCGACTAATCTATTAGCCATTGTCAAGGATGTTATTTTTATTAAATAATATAATTAGACATTTTTAATAGCAATAAGGATGTTTTAATTTCCAAAAATTATCAGTATATTGTGACCGTGTTCAGAAGTGATATCCCTGGGACCTCTGTTTTATTGTTAACTCTTCCATTATTTTTAATCATTGTCTGCATTTAGATAAGTGTTTTCCTTACAGATCCTCCAAGCAATTTACATTAAAAATTGAAGCCGACACTAAATAGAATCAGATACGTATCTTGTAATAATGTTCTAAAATGCCTATAAATAGAACACTTTTCATGCTTTAATGCGCGCTTGACCATGACATTCCAACATAAAAGAAAAAATTCCATAGTGGATAATTATTTCACGTTCTAATAAACGCTGAAGCATAACTGTCAGCCGTTGAATTTAAACGCAAAAAGGAAAAAAATCAGTAATATATACATATAAAAAAACACATGACTGATGATGAATAGAAGACTATTCGTAAGTACTAGCATTTTAACATCAAATAAACTGAAAACTACAGACAACAAGTTTATCGATGAGGATCAACTCGCACTATGGATGAACAGTATTTTAATGCATATATTATGTTTTCTAGCGATGGATGTCGCCAATAATCGCATTAATACTTCTGATTGATTCTATGTGTGATTATTTCTTCGTATGTAAATCATATGCTGCCTAATGTTTTATGTTTATAATCCGCAGTACATAAAAAAATTCCTATAAAAAAAAAAACGACTACTAAGACATTACACTATATTATTGAACTATATACTTAGTTCATGACATAAAAACTGAATACACTTGTAAAAATAGAATACGTGGATTTAACACATCACAAGAAATATTTAAATCAAATTCTCACTGAAAATTTTGAAAAACTTAGCGTTGCGTCTTTGCACGTTCCGAGATCTTACACAACCGTCAATAATAGCAGATATTCAAAAAACATCTTTCGGTCGACATACAGGTATATCGTCTTCAAGTTTTTGATTTTATAAGGAAAAAACACATGCCTGGTGATGAATAGAAGACTATTTGTAAGTACTAGCATTTTAACATCAAATAAACTGAAAACTACAGACAACAAGTTTATCAACGAGGATCAACTCGCACTATGGATGAACAGTATTTTAATGCATATATTATGTTTTCTAGCGGTGGATGTCGTTAATAATCGCATTAATACTTTGATTGATTCTATATGTGATTATTTCTTTTCGTATATATATATATATATATATATATATATATATATATATATATATATATATATATATATATATATACAAGAAAATAATCACGCATAGAATCAATCAGCAATATTAAGTATTATTGGCGATATCCATCGCCAGTAGTATATAATGTATGCATTAAAATACTGTTAATCCATAGAATAATGTGATCCGCATTTATAAAACTGTTGTCTGTTGTTTCCAGTTTATATATTTTTAAAATGCTAGTACTTTCGAATAATCCTTTATTCATTGTCAGGAATATGTTTTTCCTTATGAAATTAAAACTTGGAGACGAAATAATTGTTTGTAGACCGAAAGATGTTTTTTTTTTGTTGAGAATGTGCTATTATTGACGGTTGTGTACAATATCGGAACGTGCAAATATATATAGTATTCGCATTACTAATTGCACGCCTGATGGTGATGACAAAAAAGGATGGAAAGTACTTGGGAAATACAGTGCATTTAGTGCATCATTTGATTGTAATATACGGAAAAATATCTGTGAATATGAACGGATTATGCTAACAATAAGAAGACATAATGTTTGCAATATATATATATATATATATATATATATATATATATATATATATATATATATCGGTGTATGTGTGTGTCTGTGTGTATTTTTATGTCTTAAAAGTCAATAAGAGAACGAAACGAAACGTCTAAGACAAATTTTCCTTTGGTATTTATTCATATATATATATATATATATAATTATTTATTCGAAAATTATGACATAAATCTGTTATAAAATCGCTACAAAAATAGCCATTTTGTTTCAACACTTCTGGTGTCTTATCAAGGTTCTACATTCAACACCTTCACTTGATAAGAAACCAGAAGTGTTGAAACAAAATGGCTATTTTTGTAGTGATTTTATAACATATTTTTGTTATAATTTTCGAGTAAATAATTATATTTTCTCTACTCTGTATTGAGCACTCTTTTAAGAATAGTATTTTTGGGTTATTGGAATTTATTCCGTATACACCAATCCTATATATATATATATATATATATATATATATATATATATATATATATATATATATATACAAAGGAGAAAGAGAGATAAAATGAGATATGGCTGTATGTACGCATATAATTATATTCTTAAAAATTTGATATATTCTTGAGGGAAATGAGACAAGCTTAGACAGTTTTGTCATAGAAGTTAACATTGTATGATAATTACCAGTTTCACGCCTAAAGTGACCTTCGACCACTGAAGATCATTTGTATCGTAAAATTGACAGTCACCATGCAGTGTTGATTTCTCTGTCTCTATTCTATCTGTCGATCTATCACATTTTGTTTCGCTGCTCTCCACATGTTAACCTCTTAGTATCTATCTATCTATCTATCTATCTATCTATCCGGTAGTAAAATAGTATACGTATTAGTTTCTAATACGAGCAAATAATATACGTCAAGTTATACAATACAACGTTTATCAAATTTAACAGAACTTCTACTAACAAAGTGTTCAATATAAAACTAGATCGATTATCATTTTAAAATGTAAGTAAAACGCGCAATACTCATCAATTGTCAATATAGCGTTTCGTAGTATTTGAATCACTCATCGAGAACTTCGACAATAATGATTATATTGATTGAATAAAGGATTTTCTCCCACTAATATAGGATAGTTTCGCCTATCGTCCGCTTTACACTACTCACCTGGTTTTTTAAACAGGAATATAGGTTTATCTCTTGTTTTCTGTTGAGGATTAAGTTTCCGGTCCCTTCTAAATTCTACGTCAGCTCTATACTGCTAAAACTCGTATTCTTTCCTATGTTATTATAACGCCAGACAATAACCATCTACCTTGCAGGGCTCTTGGGCCTCGTATTGGTGAATATTAATAAAAAAAATGTATTTAATATTACAAAGCCCTCTATCTACCTACAGACACGCACACATACGTAAACACATCACAAGTCATTATCAACTATATTAATGTTAACAAAGAAAATTTTTTATTAATTTTCCTATATGAATTTTTGACGGGTATTATGCTAATATATGTATATAATTATGTAGAGTTTGAATTGTTCATTGAAGACAAAAACTCGTTAATATTTGCGCATTAGACGAGGCACTTGATTAATTTTCCTATATGAATTTTTGATGGGTATTATACTAATATATGTATATAATTATGTAGAGTTTGAATTGTTCATTGAGGACAAAACCTCGTTAATATTTGCGCATTAGACGAGGCACTTGATTATTTTTCCTATATGAATTTTTGATGGGTATTAAAATAATATATGTATATAATTATGTAGAGTTTGAATTGTTCATTGAGGACAAAAAACTCGTTAATATTTGCGCATTAGACGAGGCACTGTCATTTAGAGGTGGTAATTTTGTTTACGGGTGGCGTTGTGACAAGTGCCTAAAATATCGCATGATAAAACAAAGCGTACTTATAGATTATCGTACAAAAGTTGTTCATAATCTCAATGGTTGACACAGTTCTTTCTTGCTGTTGATTGACAAATAAATAAGAACTGAATGATAAGAAAAAGAAAAAAACAACAAGAAAAAAGGCCATGTTTATGTCCTAATTTATACACTTTTATCTCCGTAATTGTGTACTTGTTCGTACGTATCGATATCAAGAACCATCCACAAGGACACCTTGTTCTTTCCTCAAATTTACAGCCTTGGGCAACTACAGTACTTCCTCAATTATCCGGACACCTTTGGTTGAAAAGATAATTACTTAAAATTCCGTATAACTGAAGACATTGATCACGATCCAAAATGATGATAATGATATTCTGTCATTCTAAAAGCAACTTTTCGACCAGTGATGACTAATAATAAGGCTCTTTCCTCATTTTGTAAATAAAGGTAAAAAAAAATGTCATCATTGTAAATTCCACCAGTAATGATATATGATGATAATTTTTCGTCATTCTAAAATTTGAAACTTTATCATTGTAAAAACGAACCATCAACATTCACACCGTTACAAAGAATCACATCAGGCCAGAACTACAACGGTGTGGACGTTGAGTTGCCTTTGTTTTATATATATATATATATATATATATATACAAGTAGATATATATATATGTAATTGATAGAGGATTCATTTTCTCTTTTTTATATTGTTTTTGTTTGTTTCGAGAATTTCGTATTAACGATAGTCTTTCAGACCGTCAACAGTCGATTTTCCCGGAGCGAAGGTGATAGATCTGTGTTGTTCCTTTTACTACTACTACTACAACTACTACTACTACTACTACTACTGACCTCGCTTGTGGTGTAAGGATGGTTTTTATAATGATAAAGTTTCAGATGTAGTTTTTCCCTTTCGGTTAAACATCGAATATTGACGCTCATGGCTTTCAATATTTCAATGTTCAATGCATAAACTAATTAATGTCAGAAATTATATATATATATATATATATATATATATATATATATATATATATATATATATATATATATATATATATATATATATATATATATATAAGTGAACATTGAAGTCAACACTTAGAGGCAGCAGACTGTATCATGCTAGACGCAATCGTCAGGCCACGATTGTTGTTTTTTTCTCGTCTATTTATGTATACGGGTCAGTGGTGCATTGTGGGTAGTCTATTTTAGTGGTTATTTTCCGGAAGTCGTTAATTTTTTTATTTGGTTTAAATTATTTATTTTTATTTTTTATTTTTATATATATATATATATATATATATATATATATATATATATATATATATATATATATATAAAAAAAAAAAAAATATATATATATATATATATATATATATATATATATATATATATATATCGGGTGTAGCAGCAAAATTCTCCAAATCGTGTAACCCATCCCACAAAATGTTTAATATCCACCCCCCAAAAAAAAAAAAAAAAGCAGTAAACTAATGGAGTTTCCCATTTTTCCAGGTTTTCAGATAAGACGTTTAGCCATCTTGACACCATTTGTCGTAAGAATCACTGAAAAATCTATTTAATATTCAGCGAGAAAGAGTACAGGTTAAAATGGTTTTATGGCAGATCCAATGTCTTCCCAAATGAGCAATGGCGACAGGAAAATATCATTCAGGATTTCAGTAATGGCAGCAACATTCATACCCTGGCTTCCATCATTAAAGTCCATTCAAGAACCATCAAGAGAACGGTGAATAAGTTTTTATAAGAAGGAACAGAAGAGAGAAAAACTGGATCAGGGAGTCACAACATTACAAGGCATAATTATGTCAACTTAGAGCTATCATCATTTCACCTTAGTGGTAAATACATTCTTATTGTTTAAAGTAAAGCCCAATAGTGTTATAAAAACCACGGATAATTCCAGTAAGATATCTTTAATCATTTCTAAGATACAACGGTTAAACACTTAATTTTGCTGTTTCACCCGGTACATATATATATATATATATATATATATATATATATATATATATATATGTATGTATGTATGTATTTAAAATTTTTAAGACATAAAGTTTCGTATTGAAAATAAAAGGGGAAACTCTGTCAAGAAAGTGACGACAATCGTGCGTAAAGATCGCATAAAATATCATTGGGAAAGTTGATTGGGAGATCAGTAACAGCTGGTGGCCACGTGCTGGACACTGGCTACCACGTGATTGAATTTTATCTTCATGGGGACATGAAGTGAAGTAATTGTGGAGTGGGGAGTCAGCAACAACGCATACGGCGTCTCGATTTCTTTATCTAACCCTCTGTAATATCCTCATCTCTCTCTCTCTCTTTGTCTATCTCTCTGTCTCTCTCTATCTCTCTCTCTGTCACATACGCACACTCGCACACACACAAACACACACGAACATATGTAAATAATTCAAAAACCTATTACTGCTCTTTCTCTCGCTTTCCCTGAAAATATTGTCTCTTCACACACTCGCATACACATATTGTTAAACATATCTTCATACAATGCAATATAAAACATTACTACTACACGCAAAACATTGATGCATCTATGTGTGTGTGCTTACGTTCGGTACTAATTTACTGATGCAATGAGAACGAAAGTAATATATAAATTCCAACGTTAACAGCATTAATCCAAAAGAGGGCTCGATAATGATAGTAGAGCAATATTGATTTTTTATAATTTTATCATATAGACAAAAACCGTTTACTCACTACAAAGATGCAACTTCGTTTCGGTGCATTTCAGTTTGTTCTCACCAGTCGAGGTGCAAATTGAAATGCACCAAAAACTAAAAGTGGCATCTTTGTAGTGAGCAAGCTGTTTTTGTCAATATGAAAAAAAATGACAATATATATATATATATATATATATATATATATATATATATATATAAGTGAACATTGAAGTTAACACTTAGAGGCGACAGGCTGTTTCATGCTAGACGCAATCGTCAGGCCTGACGATTGCGTCTAGTATGAAAGAACCTGTCGCCTCTAAGTGTTGAATTCAATGTTCACTTTTCATTTACACACGCTCTAACCCTGATATTGAGCACTTTATCCCATAAATATAACACACCTTAAAAGTATATTTCTTTACATATATATATATATATATATATATATATATATATATATATTAGTTAAACGTTATATTTAGTGGATATTCGTATTTGAGTAGGCGCTCCGTTTATTTATTAAACAGTATATTTATTTATTTCCATCTACCGGCTTGAATATTGAGTAAATCTTATTATAAAAAAATATGAGCTCTTCAGTAGCATTCCAATCCATACCTTCGTTCTCCTATCAACGTTAAGTTCATTAGATCTAACGTGCTTTGACCTCTTGGCTATAAAGTGCATCGATGGCTATGCAAAGTTGAAAAGTGCCTTTAAAAAGACATAACTGCTCAGTTTTGTATCCGAACGTAAACAAAGCAATTTGTAAAGAACGGGAATGTACTTTTTTTTTTAATTCAACAGATTTTTATTACTTTTAGCGGAAACACCTATTTATATATTATATTCGCATAATAACGTTTAACTAATAAAAATCTGTCGGATTAATAAATAAAAAATCCCTCCCGTATATATATATACATAAAAATGTAACTCAATTGTATCCCATTTATATTGCCATTTCGCTCCCAGGGATAAATTCCCTGGAGTTTGTCAATACTAAGACGTTTAGTAAAAAAAAAAAAAGAAGTTTATATTGGTAAGCTGCATGGAATTTATCCCAAGGAGCGAAATGGCTATAAAAATGGTGTACAATTGAGGTTCATTTTTATGTAATTCATTTCTGTGCTCTATAATAAATATATTGATCACTCTTTTGTGGATCATTTTTAATATTTTATATTATTAGGATTCACTTGATTTACTTACCCACGAATTTTTACCTAGCGAAACAGTCTGTCTGTGGATGACAATATATATATATATATGGAATCAATTATCAAACTTATACTTTGAGAAGCTTTTGCAATGAACGCTAAAATTTTGTGCTGCGGTCGTCAAGGCTAAAGGAGATTATTTTACGAGAGCAAAATTTATTATTATTATTATTATTATTATTATTATTATTGTTGTTGTTGTTGTTGTTGTTGTTGTTGTTGTAGATTTTTTATAATAAAATTTCTAATAACCATGTATAATAATTTTCTCTTCTTTAAAGTACCAAAAATACTTTTGGGCCCAATTTAGAAAAAAAAAAAAAAATTACCCCGGGTGGCTTCAAACTTTTAAACTGCATTGATGCGTTGATTTTGTTTAACGGCATATCAACACCTCTATGGGTTATTTGATGCCGAAATCTAAATATTTTTTTTTTTTTTAGACGCATAGTTTGTAGATCATAAAATGTATTGTTAGTCATTTTACTATAGAAATGTATTTTTATATTTTTTAATGACGAATTGATTGTTATTTTGCTATAAATATGTATTACTGGTCATTTCATTATAAAAATATACAGTTGATTTTAGTTTGAGGACTTACTATTCGTCCATAGCTGGGAGCCGAAAAGCTGATACCACTCCGGGTCAGGGTGGACGTGGGAACAAAAGCAGTTAAGTGGTAGTTCCACGCTCCTCTAAAATTTCAGTTTCCTTGCTTCTAGATGTTGTTTACCGTCATACCCAGGATATATACATATATATATATATATATATATATATATATATATATATATATATATATATATATATGTGTGTGTGTGTGTGTGTGTGTGTGTGTGTGTTTGAGTGTATGTATTTCCAGGCGTTATTTTATCCATGTTTAATTACCCATTTTTAAGACAGTGTGAATTATGTCTACCGGCTTGCAGAGTTTCGAAACTTTTCGGACAGTAGGGTTCGAATCGTCGTCCCATTTCATAAGTGGGGAGGCGTAAATCACCCTGTTTAAAAAGAAAGAGATGTCTAATATATACTGGGTAAACACTAAAATAATCTTTGGTCCAATAGGAAATAATATATCAGGACTAATTTCAGGCAAATCCTCTCTTTCACTCTCTCCCTCTGGACATATATATATATATATATATATATATATATATATATATATATATATATATATATATATATATATAAGTACTAGAAGTACTAGAAAGTAATGTCCTCCGTTTGCTTCTACGCGCGCATGCACCCTTTTCGATTATTAACACACGGAGTCGAATGGTTTCGCAGCCCTCTTTAACAGATTTATAAAGCGTCACTGAATTATCTATCTATCTATCTATCTATCTATCTATCTATCTATCTATCTATCTATCTATAGTGGCGCCATAGCCACCGAAACCGTGATATCACCCCTGGTCGGCGGCTGATGAAGACAGGGTATCGCACGTGCTAACACACGTTGCATGTTATATATATATATATATATATATATATATATATATATATATATATATATATATATGTGTGTGTGTGTGTGTGTGTGTGTGTATGTGTGTGTGTGTATATATATATATATATATATATGAAGGTTGGTGTGTAATTAATGCTACCCAGTTCATTTATCATGTTGATCCTACATGCTAGATGTATATGTTGACAGGAAGCTGAACCTTACTGAAGGGTAAATATTTTTCTTGTTACATGTAGCAGCAGAGCGGTATTCTGGCAAAATGTCGTTTGGCATTATAAACAAAGCATAGAAAGGAGATCTGTGTCGGTTATTGTAGAAAAGAATTTGAACCCACTGGCATTAATCGACTCTTGCTGAACCTCCACAGAGAACAATTCGTGGATACGAGCACAGTTAAGCGATGTTTAATGGGTTTCAGTATATCACTTCTGTAAAAGCCATATTCGTACTTCTGTCACTGGCCCGGAAACTTACGAGCGCCCTATGAAACACTTGACAAGTTAGTTGGCTGAAATTGAAGTCTAACGGCCCACAAATCGTTGCAATAACCATTGGCATTACAACTTTTCAAACAGCTGTTACGAGCTTCCATTACTTCATATGAGCAGATGCAAATAACAGATGAACTGTTTTGACTACCATTTCAGGGCATTTCTCATGAGGGCGTATGAAAATGTGTGTTATTCACATTGTGTTAATAATAAAGAATACAACGAGGGACTTCAGGTAGTTTCAGTCGTGATGGGCCTCCTCATCATCCTCTACTGTCATTTGTATATTTTCATACACACACACAGAGTCAGAGATACACATCTTTCGAAAGACAGAAATAATGAACTGACAGAGCTACTTGTAAACACACATAAACACATGTACATTTATAAATAGACACACACACACGTATATATATATATATAAATATATATATATATATATATAGGGAGAGAGAGAGAGAGAAAGAGAGAGAGAGAAAGAGAGAGAGAGAAAGAGAGAGAGAGTGAGAGATAGTATGTGTGTGTTTGTGTGAGAAAGAGGTTGAAAAGAATTGTAAATAGATATATAGATAGGAACAGACCGTGATAGATGGATAGGAACTGATTAAGATAGATAATAACAGAGCTATAGATAGATAGATAGATAGATAGATAGATAGATATGAACAGACCGAGATAGAAACATAGATAGATAGATAGATAGATAGATAGATAGATAGATAGATAGATAAAACATATTGAGATAGATAGATAGATAGATAGATAGATAGATAGATAGATATGAACAGACCGAGATAGAAACATAGATAGATAGATAGATAGATAGATAGATAGATAGATAGATAGATAGATATGAACAGACCGAGATAGAAACATAGATAGATAGATAGATAGATAGATAGATAGATAGATAGATGGATAATGAAATCGTAAACAAAAAATGGCGACGGAGATACAACAGTAAGATAGAGATTAGGAGAGAGGTGGGTGAGTGAGTGAGTGAGTGAGTGAGTGAGTGAGAAGTCGGGTTAAAAGAACACAGGTAAGTGTCAGTGAGGTTTTCGCGTTTTCAACACATCTGGATAATTTTCGCGTGTGACTAAAGTGACAATCATAATTGTTGCGACATCCATTCCTTAATTTTGGGTCAACGCAACCTTCTCAATGAAAGGAGTTGAGAAGAACAATTGGTTTCATACCAGAAAATAAAAGCAGATAAAAGACAAGTTCACGTGACGACTACTTAACCAATGAAAACCAAAGAACACAATTTTCTTTTTCCTTCATATTTCGTTTCTAATTAAATTTAAATAAAAGCGAAATATGTCAAATTTATAAACGTTTCCTATTTATTCCTCATCATTGCATTGTATCTGATACAAAAACATTGTCAACCTTTATTGGATTCAATTTATATATATATATATATATATATATATATATATATATATATATATATATATATATATATATATATATATATATATATATATATATATATATATATATATATATAATAATGAATGATTCATACAAAAAGTAGATTAGTAAAGTTAATGATATAAAATTTTATATCATTAACTTTACGAACCCTTTTTTATATGAATGATTCATTATAATATAAATTAAACTGAACCACATATTTCATATATATATATATATATATATATATATATATATATAGATAGATAGATAGATAGATAGATAGATAGATAATTCTGTGTTCATGTGAATACACCAACTACTGATATAAATTTAATTTCATAACTGTAAAATTTAAATGTAAGATTTTTCTTGAATTTTTTTCTTACTCTTCGGTAAATCGAATCGAGTTCTCTCAGTCACTGTGTATTTATCTAAAAATAAATATGCTTAAATTCACCTTCATCCCTGCTATGCGCCAATGGCATAGTGGTAGAATCCCGACTGATGAGAATTCAGTCGGTTTTCAATCCTACCTAGAGGCAACCAGTCGTCTAGCCACATTAGATGAGCTGTGATACAGCGAAACAGTCTGTCTGTGGATGACTATATATATATATATATATATATATATATATATATATATATATATATATATATATATATATATGTGTGTGTGTGTGTGTGTGTGTGTGTGTGTGTGTGTGTGTGTGTGTGTGTGTGTGTGTTGAGTAAATAGGAGAAATCGTAAATAGAATATCAACTCTTGTCCGAAAGCTTGGCATCTACTATTCTCCAGCGATTTATATTATTTCATAGATCCGTACGTTCTTGATATATATATATATATATATATATATATATATATATATATATATATATATATATATATTACAAGCATGTCATGACATTAGTACAAAAATAGCTATTTATTTTCAACACCTCTGGTGTCTTGTCATGTGATGGCGTCGATTGCAATCAATCACTTGACAAGGCACTAGATGTGTTAAAACAAATGGCTATTTTTTAGTGATGACTATGGTATATTTTTTGAATAAATATTATTTGCCCTACTTTGTATTAAAGAATTGTTTTTTGGTTATCGGAATTTTATTCCATCTACACCAAGGCTGTACTTGCTATTTAATATATATATATATATATATATATATATATATATATATATATATATATATATGTAAATATAAAAGTGAACATTGAAGTCAACACTCAGAGGCGACATGCTCTTTTATGCTGGACGCAATCGTCAGGCCGCCTGACGATTGCGTCAGCATGAAACAACCTATATATATATATATATATATATATATATATATATATATATATATATATATATATATATATATATATATATATATATATATATATATATATATATATATATATATATATATATACGACAGGCTGTTTAATGCCTGACTATTCGCCCAGCATGAAACAGCCCGTCGCGTGTTGACTTCAATGTTCATATATATTTACATACTCTCTATCTTTGATATTGAGCACTTTATCCCATAAATATAGCACTACCTTAAAACTATATTTCTCCATATATATATATATATATATAGTTTTATGGTTTACTATATTTATAGTTTAAATTGATCAATATTAGGAATAGAGCGTATGTAAATATGAAAATGGGCATTGAAAGAGAGAGAGAGATAGAGAGAGAGCAGGGGGAAGAGAAATAAAATGGAGAAAGAAAATTTACATTAGAGAAACATAGAATTGAAGGCTTAAAACAAGTTCAAGGGGACGACTATTTTTTTTCCGTCTCGCGTATAAAACGCATGGTTAGTGGTCGGTGCATTTTGACACGGTGACTTTGACACGAGATATTTAGGAAAGAAAAAAAAACAAGAAAATAATTAATCAATTTTCTTTGACTTCGAAATAGCCACCCCAACCCTTAATATTTCAAGGTAACAGCTTGTCAGTGCTCAGGTAGTTGCTAAGCAAGTTCTTTAGACTAATACGAAGATAGATTTTAGCACGATTAATGTTTGAAACGTGTCAATTTATGACCAGAAGCCATAATAGATCCACCTGAAATCCCAATATTTTTAGCAGAGATTTTGTGTGGAATACATATTATTTCTTTTTCTGTGTGACAGGAGGAAAATGCGTGAATATATTTAGAATTCACTATTTAGCAAATTTAAATCATGAGCCACGTGCAGAAAACTAGACATAGCCAGATATTGGGGAATATTATTCTTAGTTGAGCACAAATGAATTGCGACATAACGTAAAAAATGGTGAACAACTAGCCATAATGAATTAAGACAGCTCAGCTCTATATTGATATCATGAAGGCCAACGTAGAGCTGTGTTTAAAGAAGATGCGAAACCTTTACAGAAAGTTAATGAAATATAGACACGACAGTGGCTCCTCACATCCGGTGAAGAAAACTAAAGAATATCAGAATAAAATGGGTTTCAAAGACACCTCGTTTGATTAAGCAGCCAACTTTTTTGCCTGATTGAATACTTATGAATCATTATGAAGCGGAAGGTTTACATTACTAGATCGCAATTTACCAGCAAAATGAACCTTGGAATCCTATTATAGATGTTTTGTTGCCTGTTTCATAAGAAGAGATATCTTTCTCTCTTCTTCTTCCCCTGTCAAAGTCTTTTGTTGGACGTAAACCCTCCCCCAGGTCCATAGGGTGGAATGGGCTGCGTTACTCTACCTCGCTGGCCCAATGTTACTTGCTATGGACAGATATAACACGCTTGGGCGATCATATATCCCCCAAAGGTTATTTGAATGGGAATGTAACGAAGCCGGCTTCAATTCGAACTCTGATTTTGAATTCCGCGCCATTTTCTATTACACCATTTGTACATTCAGGCTTACCATATTCCCAAGTAGTGACCCATTTAGCTACTGATCAATCTATGATTACACCTGGTGTTTATGCGTAGCTTTTAATATAAAAACTAGGAAGAATTAAAACGATT